CGCACGCACTCGCTTGGTAACAATAAAGCTTATCGAAGGGTCTTTTTACATCATTATGTAATGGAGCAAGAAGAGCAGTCAGATATAACAGTTGGGATCATCAAGGCACGCGAAGAGTAACATACGAGAAATGTGGGTTTATCGTTAGCGGTTTCAGACACGCGAAAGAACTGGAAACTTGTGTGTTTCGGGGGCTCAACTGTGCGTCGAGAAGAAGTCTCAGAAAGAGCGATCTGTTGCGAGATTTGACGACGTTCACTTATGTCGAAAACAACAATGTTGAACAGACCTCTTGAATAAAATAAGAATTTACTTGGATTTATTTTGGTATGAAGATATTTCATGATGTTCCAAAGAGATATTGTCCTTCAAGTGGAGCCAAGAACCACCGCAACGCCGTTTCGTCCTCATTGGAAATCATCAGAAGAGATTTTTCGATTCTGTGACTTTCCGTTTTGTGTTTGACCATTTATCCATGCGGCCTCAAGCACCTGAACAGCATTGTACTTGACTCTCTGTGGGAAAAATTTTAGATGCTATTCAGCGGTGGCAGAGCTAAACTGATGGGAAAGTTGTTTGTGGAGATTTCGTCCTGTACGTAAAGCCAATCTATGCTGAAAAGCCGACAAGCACTGTACAGCTGTTTCATCCCTATTGGGAATCATCAGCAGTGCGCATCTCACGAAACTCCGGTAGGAAGTCTCGAACCCGCGACCTCCTGGCTAGTAGTTCTTACCGCTAAATTAGTCAAATCAGTGGACAACTGTGGATAGTAGGCGAGCCGTGGTTAATGAAGTTACCACTCTCCTTACGACAATATCAAACTCCGGTAGTCTCGAACCCGCGACCTCCTGGCTAGTAGTTCTTACCGCTAAATTAGTCAAATCAGTGGACAACTGTGGATAGTAGGCAGGCGATGGTTAATGAAGTTACCACTCTCCTTACGACAATATCAGGAAATCGATCCATAGGAAATGGACTAAAATTGTCTCGTTACCAGGTAGTCACTTTTAGAAAGCAGACGAATGGGTGGGGGCACTACTCACAAGGTTGCTGAAAACTCTTCGACAGCCTACGACCGGTTTCGCAC